TTGAAAGAGACTGCTACTTCCTTGCCTCTCCTGATGCATATCTCTATCATAAATTCCTTAATCCAGACTGGTAAAGTAGACTTCAAAGCTATTTGTCTCTCTTGTGACATCCATGTGTCACAAAAAGCATTTCCAATTGCCTGAAGGTAGCTGCTCTATTGTAAGGAATCCTGAGAGGCAATCCTTTTAAAAATTAAAAAATAAGTTGCAAAAGTAAGGGAATTTGAAGTTTTAGAGCTTCTAGTCATAATCATGCATATACAATTTGGATGGAGAAAATGCATATTATAAATCTGAAAAGAACAGAATATTTGAGGTTATTGTCAGGAGAGGATGGAGCCAGCAAGGGATGAAGTTGCCCCATGCATAGACCTCTACTCTTAATGAGCTGATCCCCAAAATTCTTATCCAGAGAATCTCCTGAATTTCTTCTGATGTGAAATAATCACTGCACACACAACAAAAGGTTTCCAACATATGGTGGAGAGGTGGTTCCTTTCTTGTAGTACATTATAGTACTAGTAGTATTGTAGTAGTTTCACTCAGTCCAATTAACCATTTTTTCTTGAGTATGGGGAGCTCACTAGCTAAACAGTAAGTCTGAAGTACAATGCATTTTTACTGAGTATCAGACTTAACAGATTTTCTGACACTGGTAGTTTGAATTAGTGGAAGAATGAATAGTGTAATTAGAAGAAATTAACAATGGAGCTAGGAGGACAGGAAGAAAAGGAAAAGTAAGAGATGGAGAGAAAAAAGAAATAGCTATAGATTAGGAAATTGTATGCATTCATGGTCTTAGATTTTAAAGTATTTCTTTCACAGGAATCCCACAGATCCATAAAACTGCAGAACGGTGTTACTGTGTAAGGCAGAGGAGAGATTAGAATTGTTTTTTCTTTGTTTTAAATTACATGACACAGATCAAGTTCTAATTTGGAAAAAGGGAAAGAGTTCAAATAATTAAAATTAAATTAAGGGAATGCAGGGCCCAAATGTGCAGGATGCCCAGTGCCCTCACTTCCTTTGGACCACAGCGGGTATTTAGAGCACTCCCTATTACACAGGATCAATCATTCAGAGAGGGAAACCAAGCAGTAACTGTTGAATGCATACATACACATACCATGTATGGGAGCATTACTTCCTTGCTCAGAAAACTTCCTTAGGTGATCAACAGACCCAGTACATTTTTTCTTATCTTGGGAAACAAATTATAAATAATGTATTTTGTGTCAGGATAGTCAAAATCAGCTGACGCGCTACTGTTATCAGTTTCTGACCAAACTCTTTAGGAGTAGTTTTAGGCATACAGAGTTGCAGGCCTTTGCTCATGAAATTAATTTCCTCTGTTTGCTAATATTTGACAAATTTCAGGGTACAGCATAAGATATATCTCTGAAGACAGGAGGTTTTTTTTAATCATATGCCAGTGAAGCAAATATATCCATTTTATGCAGGCACTTTTTGAATTTTAACTGTATGTTTTTAATTCTGAGTTGCCCATGTGCTATAGCTATTATGTCATTTTTCCACATTTCAGAAGTAATCTCTCTTTGTCAAGCGCTTTGTTTTCCCAATTAATTTGTGCAAAATTTAGTTCTAAAACTTACCATTTAATAATGTTTCTGGTGAGACTTAACCCTGTTTTGACAGACGTTAAGCATTTTTTGAATATGAGGGCATTCAAACCCAGCACTTCCCTGGGACCAATTGCTGGCTACTTTTCAAATTATGTCCTTAAACTAATATCTAGTGGAGGTACTTTTTATTTTGATAGAATACATTCTCTTTATATTTTATTCCATTTTGGTTTCACTGGATGACAAAAAGGTAAACTAATCAATTTCTGTCATTAAATGTGAAGACAATAAAAAAGGACTTAAAGCAATCTTCCTGGAAAACTAAAGCTGTTCATATGTTCTATATTTCTCGCAACCATAACATAACTTTGCAGTGCCCTCTACTGTGCATCTCAGCAACTCCTTTTGATACCATGAACCAGAGAGAAACATGTCCACGAAAACAAAGGAAGCAGATTAGAAGCAAGTAGCAAATTTGAAAATGCTGTGGAAATAAATAAATACACAAATTTGTGTGCCTACAGTCAGACAATCTGTGCTTGGGATCAAGTTTTCTTTCATTTCTCATTGTTTCCTCTCCTCCAATGATCCAAGAACTGTCAGCCAAAACTGGAGAAACCAAGTGATACAACCTTGATACAGATTTGGGGGGAAATGGATCTTTTTTAAAAAGGATCCCTTTACCGCTATGTTGTCTACTGAGGCTGTAAACTCTCAGGCATTAAGTAATAACAATAATAAGGATAACAAAAGCTATTCTATAACTATCCCCTAGCCTCAGATAAAATTTCCAAAGTCACAACCAAAAGTCTGAGCTTAAACTGTATATGGGACAATTTGTGTTCTTCTGACTTAACCAAATGCTTGAAGATGAGAAGAAAGCAAGCAACATGCAGGCATATGAGTTGAAACAGGTAGATTCTACCAAGAGCATCTAGTCATACATAAGGCTATGATTTAGTCATGGGTATTTTTAGTAAAAGTCATGGACAGGACATGGGCAATAAACGAAAATTTACGGCCCGTGACCTGTCCATGATTTTTACTAAAAATACCCGTGACTAAATCTTGGGGGGGGGGGCTGCTAGGGGAGGATGTTGGGGGGGGCTGCCGCTGCTGGGGGCAGGGTGCCCAGGGCTAGCAACATCAGCTGCCAGGGATGGCCCGAGCAGTGGCTGCTCCAGCCACCTGCCCAGAGACTGCTGCCGGGGCCTCCCAAGCAGCGGTTGGTGTGGCTGTCCCTCAGGCCATTCTAGCAGTGGCTGGTGTGGCTGTCCCAGGGCCACCTGAGCAGCTGGCCCTAGAGTCAGCTGCTTGGGCAACCCTGGGTCAGACACACGGGCTGCCTGCAGAAGTCACGGAGGTCACAGAATCAGTGACTTCCGTGACATCCATGAGAGACACAGATCCCTAATCATACAGCACAAAAATGGTGTCTTGCTCACAAAAGCAAAGCCATCCACCAGTATTTTCACTTACAAGGCAACACCTATAACTCCACATACACCCCAAAACAATCTAAGCATATTATTTCTAAAAATAAAATATATTTAACTCCAAAAAATCTAATTCTACTATTTCTCTTGAGTTTGGACAGGCTTAGTGTGGAGGGATACAGGAGGGGCTAAGACGGTTCTGTGTGGTGCAATCTGGGTGTGGGTGGCTCTGCAGAGGGGCTCGTTGCGGGGGTTTGGATGTAGAGGGAATGGGATCCAGGTCAAATGGTTGGGGCTCAACAAGGGGAGGTCTGGGTGTGGAGGAATGGGGCTCAGCAGGGGATCTTGGTGTGGCGGGATTGATGGGGTGAGAGTCTGGGTGCATCTGGTTGGGGCTCAGTGGGGTGGGGATCCGAGTGCGGGGAGTCTGATGGGGTGGTCCAGGTGCGGGGGGGGGGGGGGGGAGGGCCAGTGACGCGGTGTGGGGGCGTATGCCGTCGTGTGCTCTGGAAGGAGGGGTG